CGTTAACATAGAAAACTATGTAGCTACCGTGAAAAAGCCAATAATTGATGAAGATACAAAAGCATTGTTTTTCACCCAAAATGACTGCAAAGAAATAGAAAATGATATTTTGAATGTTTTGAAATAGATATAAGTCGAATATGATCAGTTATTCATAATAAAAAAATATTGTATAAAAACACATTATATTTACATACTATAAGTTCAATCCAAGTATGAATGTTTTCAAAATTTCATTGAAATAAATTATTCATAGGTATTAAAATAAATAACAACATAATTGCATAAATATTTATTGGTCGTTTTTATTTCAGTTCTTCTTATTATAAAAAATATGGTAAAAAAATCAACTTGAGTATTTTTCTGTGTCCAACGGGCTAAGGCACATAAATTATTTTTAGAATTTCGTTCTAACTAAAATAAAAAAATGAATTGAAATGTTTAATGAAAAAATGAAATCCTGAAATTATATCATAAATTCTATGTGCTCTAGAACTTTGTCAAAACCCAAAAAAAAAATGGCGACCTTAATTAAATAATATAGTGAGTATTTTGTTAATATGATAAATCTTGACCAGAGTGAGCAATGTTTAAAAATGGCTAGAAAAATGGTGGATGGATTTTATGATAATAATAAAAACTATTATTTCGAATAATATTTTTGCTGGATGTTCCATCTAGTCCATCAACCATCATACTTTTCTTTTAAAATCGTGATTCTTTCGATTCTATGGTCGTTTATAAGGATGTGCATCATATTTTGGACGTTTCCTGAAATGTTTAAAAAGAAAAATAATTCGTTTAAAACCATGAAATAAGAAAGAAACATTACACATTACTCACTTCAAAGCTGCCTTCAACTGTTTTTGAAGGGAATCGTGTAAATTCAGCTGGCTTGAATAATTTTCCTTTCCAAAGACTTGACTGAAACCAAAAGTTTTGGCACGTTCAAATGAAGCTGGCAACGTTGCTTGTGTAGTTGATACTTTCTTCAAGTTTACTCGATTTAAATGTTCTTTTAGTGAACCTAAAAACAATTTTTTGTTTATGTTATATTTGCTTTATACTGATTGACTGAGTCTTTTCTTTATTAAACTGATTTACCTTGCGCTGTTGGCGGTGGTTTTGGTAATGTCAATGGTGGTGGTGGTGGCGGTGGCGGTGGCGGTGGCGATACCGGAGCTGATGATTCTTTTGTTATGGTGACACATTTTCCGAATTGTGGCATTGTTGGTGGTTTCGGCGACGTTGATCCATACTTCCCAATTTCCTGGTCTATTACTTCGCGAAGTTTCATCAACTGTTGTTTTTTTTCGTTTGATGTTTCAGCACAGCACATGTGCGTTTCAAATTGCTCGATTGAATCATAGTTATTCATATACACCTTGAGATATTCACCGCAAGTTAAACAACCGAATACTCCAAACTTAGATGCCATTTTAAAGCTATTTCGATTAATTCGTTCGATTGTTTTCACGAGTACCAAACAAGTTTTAAACGTATTTTCTTCCGAAATTTTCTTAGAATATATCAAACTAGATATCAAATATCTGCTCGTATTTACCCCAGTATTTAGCTCGTATACTTCGTGATTGACTTCTGTGGCTACTTTGTTCTCTGATGTCAACTCCAGTCTAAACTGCTAACTAAACTGTTCGTAGCGTTGAGTGTGCACAAACCTATACACAAACACATACAAACGTGTTGTAGCATTTATTCAAACGAAGTCTATATTGGAAAATATGTTTATGTATTGATGTTTTTGGTACTGTGTGACTGGTAATTCCTAGGATAATTCTCTTATGTATTCTATACACTCGGTTTTGCACACAAAGTTGAAATGAAACAAAAATACCGTTGATTCTAAGAATATTTCACTGAATGAAAATACTCCAAGTGGTGTGTGAATAAAATCGACCGTGAACAAAAGTCTATGAACGCAAAAGTTTTTCTTTATTTTATGAAATATAAATATTTTTTTCATCACATTTTGCAGAAAAGGTTTTTTTAAATCATCAAAATAGTTAAATAGATAGATAGATAATTTTTATTTGTGAATGACAGCATTTCTTTCTAGATATCTTTGTTAGATATTTTGGATAATCAGCCAGCGTTTTGATGTAGGTTTTGACTAGGGTTTTGACTTTAGTTCTAATATATATAGATTAATATGAGCAAATACAGTAAAATACAAATCCAATAATGGTTGTCTTTCATGTAGCAAGAATTTGTCTTATATTTTAAGAAAAAGCGCATTGATTCTCTTATTTATCAGATTAACTTTGTTTGAAAACGTATGATAAACTGTAACATTTTATGATTGATTTGTTATATTTAGAATTCATATTTAAATTGAGTTCTATTTTGCCAGCTATGTATAAATTTATCTTTGAGATCATCATTACACTTATCATTTTACATTCAGTTCAATCAATAAACATAGTAACGGGTTTCAGTTTTTTTTTTGCCTCGCCGCTCTTTATTGGGTCATGAATTTGGTCGAATAGACTTTGTTGTTGCATCGGTGGATTTGGCAAAATGCGATCGGAAGCCTGTTCATAAATATGGATTTCTTAAGAATTTTCAAAATTAAAAAATGATAATTTTATACCTTCGATAAATTTTCTTTCATGTTTTTTAATAGACGTTCGAATTTCAATGTATCCTTTTTGACTTTTTGTTTTTGCTTTGATGCAGACCGTTTGCTCGGGCTTTTGGTTCGGTTGATTGCTTGATTGGTTGTGCGACTTTTGGCCATATTTTTAGATTTTTCGCGAATTTCAGCAAAAATATCGTTTGGGTCTGGGTTTAGATTTTGTCGTTCCATAAAGACACTTTTAGAACGAGTTCGAACCATATTGCAATGATATGGAAGTTTACCTTCTTTTTTAGTGAAAATTATCGACAGAAGATTTAGCCACAGATTTTGTCTTTATAATTCTGGCTATAATCTATTTTGTAAGAAAATTCCAAGTTTGAAAGTACGTTTATCGTTTGCACAACACACTAGACCGCACTTGCTTGTGATATGTGTGTATTCATTTGACATTAGAATTGACATTGTCAAATAAAATAGAGTTGACATTAATGTCTAACGTAATGTTTGACGCTAGGTTTGACATATTCGAAACGGAACACAATTTTTTGTTAGACTTTGGACAATTGAACATAATAATTCTAGTAATAATTAGTTGGGTTTCCATTATTCTAGTAATTAGTGAAATATAAAACTTTCAAAGTTCTACGGTTTTCTTAAAATAAAATTTAAAATACCTCATAAATAATAACTTATAACACGATGGATGCAATCACTGATATTTGTGAAATCTCAGATGGAAATAAAATAATTCAATGTTTAAAGGAGAGATTTATGCAAGGTGAAATATATGTGAGTATATTTATGTTTTGATTTGTAAATTGAGATTGACTATTCACTTCTGATTATATTTTAGACATATATCGCAAAGGTTCTTATCGCGATCAACCCATACGATCACATAAATGGTCTATATTCGCCACAAAAAATTGAAAAATATCGCAACGATAAGGATGAGCTCCCGCCACATTTATATTCAATTGGTATTTTTCCCCATTCCACATATTTTAACATTTCTAGTGAACAAAAGGCCAATCATATTTTTTTTCTTTATAGCAAATAGAATTCTTATGAACATAATTTTGGATCCACAATCAATTGTGTTGACAGGAGAGACAGGTTCGGGCAAAACCAACAGCGCAATGCATCTACTTTTATTTATATCCAAATCGACAAAAGTTACAGATAGTATTATGGCTACAAACAAAATTTTTGAGTCATTTGGAAATGCGAAAACTTGCCATAATCAAAACAGTTCGAGGTACACAAAATTAACTGAGGTAAAAAGTATAAAAAATGTTCGCAATAAATTCACATTTTAATAGCCATAAATGTTAATTTAAATATTCCAGATTTTTCTTAATACCGATCAAACGTTAGCTACAGCCAAAACATCATATGTTTTGCTCGAAAGTAGCAGAATTTATGCACATAATAAAAATGAAGCAAATTTCCATATTTTTTATACACTTCTGACATCAGCTGCAAAAAACTTGCTCAAAGATTTTGTTGATCTACAACTTGACGTAACAAACAACTACGTATATTTGTCAGACTATCGTTTTGATGAATCAAGTTGGCTAGACTTCGTAACGGTGGGTAATGCATTAATTGATATTGGATTGGAAAATAAAGAGAGGAAAAAAATTTACAAAATACTTGCAGCAATTCTGCATCTCGGCAACGTATCTTTTGAGGAAAATCCTTCAATAGGGTGTAAAATTGCAAATAAGACTACAAACCACATTTGTATTGCTGCCCAACTTTTGGAAGTTGAACAAAGATCACTTGAAATTTCCCTGATGACACGACAAATGATAGTGCCCGGATCAGATCCAATCACGTAAGCATGCATTTTGACTGATTTTTAGTTATACAATTTGTAATTAAAGGCGTTTTCTCTAATTATTTGTATAGCATTCAATTAGATCACCTGAGAGCCAACACAGTAAGAAATAGTTTGTGCCAGACCTTATACGAATGTGTATTTCAATATATCGTTGATAAAGTCAACGAAAAAAGTACAAACCACAAAATTGATTCAACACTATTGAACATAAACCTGTTAGATATAGCCGGATTCGGTAATTTTTTAGATCTTGCTTTAAGAGTGTCCCCAAACAAACATTTGTGTCCATGGGAATAAATATGGCAATACAAAAACGGAATCTGAAGAACGTTACATAATTTTTTTTTACATAGTTTAACTCCATACAAAAAAAAATTTATGTAACGTTCTTCAGATTCCGTTTTTGTATTGCCATATTTATTCTTACGGACAGATTTAAATTATATAACTTTATATTTTCTATAATTATTAGAATCATTCAATGGAAATAATCATTTTGAGCAGCTTTCTATAAATTTCATCAACGAAAAAATCCAACAAATGTTCGTCAGAATAATGATAAAAAACGAAGAAGAGTGGTATACGAGTGAAAATTTGCAAATACCAAAAATTCAATTTCTGGACAATCACCTCATTTTAGGTGAGCGATAATTAACGTATATTAACAAAAACAACTTAATTATTAACGTCATACTATTTTATTATCTTTAGATTTATATGAAAATAAATTCAAAGGTGTCTTCAAAGTTTTAGATGATACGGGCAAAATTCAGTGTCAAACCGCATCTAACTTTCTTCAAAATATTTTTGCAAATTGGGAAAATAATCCAATACTCGGCGTACCGAAGCTACAGAATTCGGGATTTATTATTCGTCATTTTGTTGGCGATGTTTTTTATAATGTCGTAAGTGTATTCAAAATATTAAGATTCTTTATTAACAAAATAATTGAAAATATGTTTGAATTTATTCGCTAGGATAATTTTTTGGAAAAAAATTCAAAAATGCTGACAAGAGAAATAAGAGATATTTGTCAAAATCTCGGTTTAATTATTGGAAGTGGTTCAGTTAATATATTGAATGGAAAATCAACAACCTCTATGTTAAAAACAAAAACCGATGATCTAATCAAGAAACTTTCTAACACAGTGAGTAAAAGGAAAAGTTCGAATAATTTTTGTCAGATTGTAAAAATCAATTTTTTTTTAGAAATGTTCATTTATAAGATGCATCAAACCGAATGGAAGTCAATCTAGTGGTATATTCAACGAAGATTTAGTTCGATCACAGCTGATTTCTTCGGGATCTATTGCTTATCAGCAACTCATGAGAATCGGGTTCCCAAATTTTATTAGTATTGCTGACTTATTTATTAAAGTTAAATCAAACTTGGAATTTGAAGATTATGCCAACACAAATCCCAAAGAGTTTTGTAATTTATTAATTCGATCTTGTGGCCTTCTGTGGAAGGATTTTAAAATTGGTAATACTAAAATATTCTTTCGATGCAAGAAATTAGACCTATTGACGGAAAAACTAAACGATGAACCAAGTAAAATTAAATACCAAATGGATAAGCTAAGGCTCCTGCGCAAAAAATGGAAGATAGCCATTATATTTACGAGATTTTGTGTTCTCGGCAAAAGTCGCAGTGAAAAACTGATTGGTCTTGTGCAATCTGAAGAAGTAGTTGATATTCCAAGAAAGAAAATAAAATTGAATAAAAAATCCGTGCAACTTACTCAAACTGAAGGTAAATATAACAAATTGCTGAGATGAAAACTTCCATTTTTCTTATATTTATATGTCAAAGTCTATTTACTCGCAAATGGGATTATAGAAGAATCGTGTTCACTTTTGAAGCTGCGAGAAAGTTCAACTCAACGTGAAAGGATAACAATTAGTTCGAATGAAGCTGAATTGACTACTGAGAATCAATTGCGAAAGTTGTTACGTGAGGAGCGAAAAAAGAATGAGGTAGTGTTTGCGGAATATCGTCAACTACAAAAGCGAAACGTTGAGTTACAAACGGAATTACAAAGCATAAAGAAACAGAATGATTTGTTGATAGGAGAAAACAACCGATTTAAAAACGCATTTTCATATATATCACGGGAACATGACTATGTACCTCAAAAATAAAAACCTTGAAAAACTGAAAATGGAATGAAACATGTTTTTTTTTCTGATATATTTTTTTAATGATGCATTAATTTAAGGCACTTTAATCTATTATCACCATTTCTCGATATATTGATGAATTCGAGTTTGTAGAATGAGCATTTTTAGACTGAACATTTGTCGTTTTAGTTGTCTTCTGTGATGTCGTTTTCGTTGCCCTCAACTAGAGTGTCAAACTCACCCAACTCAATGAATTCGTCATCATATTCAATGTATGTATCATCTAGAGTATCACAGCCTTTTGTAATTAAAATGTCTTCAAGCGATAGGTTTGATCCAAGTTTGATGTTGAAATTTTTTTCTGGTTGGTTGAATTTTTCGCTCAGGCCAGTAGTAGATGTTTCTGTAACTTTCACGTTGTGCTGTGCACTAGGCAGTGCATGCTTTCGAAGATGTTTACAAAGGTTGCTATTCTTCCAATGCTTATCGTATCGAACAACAAAACTGGAAAAACATATTGGACACAATAACGTACATGTGCAAAAAGCAGCAGTTTCAGTCGCAGTGTAACTCGAATCCTTTATTGAATCTGACCAACTTTTTGTCAAGCCAAGCCCATTCGAGTACGTGAACATTTGGTTCAGTAAAGATGCTTGCAGTTCAAGTTCGCTTAAAATGAACTTTGATTTCATATTTTTCTTCGGTCTCTTTTCATCCTTCATTTCAGCGATTTCCGATGTGATTCCAAAAATCAAAGATTTGTGTCCGGGAAGAAATTTGAACGGCTTTGCGTCTTTGTATTCTTCAAATTCGTCAACAATATTTCGATGGTATTGTTCAATGTATTTTTCGGCTTCGTACAACTTTTCATCTGTCATATTCTTGAAGCTCCACATTGAATTATAGCCGATGGTATTTAATAATTTCTTCAATGAAGCTGGCACCTCTGACTTCAAACCAGCAGCTGCACACTTTGCCTCAAAACTCTCCCAAAAATCTTCATAAATTTTACGTTTTGGTGCCTATCAAATTTACGTTGAAATCAATAACTGAATTTCGATGATTTTTTCTCAAAACTTACCATTTTTGAAGTATTTCACTAAAATTCTGAAGAAAATTGATTCGATTTTGTCGTTTTGTTACGATTATTTGATTTGTCGTTGCGTGACGATGAATTCCAACATCTTTTTAAAATATGCTAACTTAACAGAATTTTATTTAATGAAGACCACCCTGGTTGTTTCGACTATATACAGATATTTTTGATCAACGTGCTGCATCAGCTTTTTGCATTTGTATTTGTATGCATACAATGAATGACAATATTGTCAATAGCTGTTTGACTTTGACATTATTGTCAAACCTCATTGTTCAATGATATTCTGTACTACCGACTAAAAATGTTCGAATCCAACCTATTTCTACTATTCCATGCACTGTTTCGCTAATCCAAATACTAATTTGTTTATTCTACTAGAAGTTTATCATTTTTAATTCAAAATCCTTAATTCTATTCCACGTGTCTCCCCCCTAGCTGCAGAACAGGTTAATATTACAAAAAATATTGAAAAAAAAAACAATTGAACACAATGTTTGATTAAATGTTTATTATTGAAAGGCGGAAAAGGCAGCCGCAAGTTATACTGTTAACAAGTTATCTGAATTCAGCACTAAACACAAGCGAAATCAGGTCAATAAGCTGGATAAATTTTACGTGGCACCAGAGTCAAAAGTTATTGGAACCAGATTTGAGAATAGGAGATTTAATCCACTCCAGCCGGCGTTGCCAATACGACTACAGTGTACATTTCCATATATTTCGATCATAAAAACATTAGAAAGTTTATTTGCGAATGAACAGTACTTACAAACCTGAATTTGTTGACTTTTGTTGCAGTGAAGTGTACAAAAAATGTGAACTGTTCCAAAAATACCCAAACAGTATACAAATTCAGGTTTTTGAAGATGATTTTGAGCCTTGTAATCCATTGGGTTCTAAAGCCACAATGCATAAAATGTGCGGTTTGTATTTTTGTATCCGTAATATGCCGAATAATTCACAGTTGAATAACATTTTCTTGATTGGGCTATGCAACAGTGACGATCTTAAGACTGAATCTACTGATTTCAACGATATTTGGCGACTTATGTGTCATGAAATCAAGCATTTGGAGACCGAAGGTATCAATGTCACAGAGACCATAAAATTGAAAGGAACATTGGTAGTTACATCTGGCGATAACATAGGATTAAATCAATCGTTGGGATTTGCGGAAAGTTTCTCGGCCAACTACTATTGCAGAGTGTGTGAACTGCCGAAACGTATATGCCAAACGATTTGTGAGGAAGATCCGAGTTCGTTGAGGTCGATTGCTAGCTACGAAAAGCATTTGTGTGTAGTAGAAAACTCAATGAAAGTTGATTTTACTGAAACAAAGGGAATAAAGCGTGACTGTGCGCTAAATAATCTCAAATATTTTCATACCATGCAAAATAAATGCGTAGATCCCATGCACGATCTCTCAGAAGGAGTTATACATTTTGCGCTACAAACAGGGCTGTAATTTTCACTCTGTCAGTGCACGCACACAGTAGTGTGCACACTCACATTCTATGTGCGTCGCACACACTGCTTGTATTTTGAATGTGCACGCACACTTAGTTACAAATTTGCCAACCGCCAAAAATGTCAGACTTGTGACTTAGTGTGCGTGCACATTCAAAACACAAGCATTGTGTGCGACGCATATAGAATGTGAATGTGCACACTACTGTGTGCGTGAACTGACAGAGTGAAAATTACAGCCCTGGCTACAAAACCTATTTCAATATATTATCAACAATGGTATTTGTAGCGAGGATAGCCTTGTACAACGAATTCAATTTTATGACTATGGCCGTTTAAATCAAAGAAATATCCCGTCTATGATTTCAACAATTAAATCGAATTTGAATCAAAATGCTGCACAGTCGCTTTGCCTTTTCCGAAACTTATCATTTATTTTGTATGAATATCAAGAACAATTGAAAGATACTCGGCCATATATTAGTTCACTTCAAAATGTAATTCAAATTGTTTTTTCTGAACGTACTACGTGGGTTGATAAGTTTTTAGAATCGGACACTAGATGGCGCCATATACAAAAACTAGTCCCATGGTTGTCAAGTGCCAACCCTTGAACCTATACTGTCAAAATTTGATGTTATTCCATCGAATAATTTATGAGATACAGTCATTTATATAGAGTAACCTCCGAGTATTTCAAAAATATGGAAAAATTGGAAATTCGTGCAGCGATCAAGTATCAATTTTTGAAAGGGTTAAAACCGCAAGAGATTATCGATGACTTCCAGAAAACTTTGAGGAAATCCACAGGCGGCACAGTGGACAGAACAGGGTGAAAGCCGGTCCAAACGATCAAAAATACAACAATCGGCAGAAAAAGTTATGGCCAGTGTATTTTGGGATGCGGATGGCATAATATTTATAGACTATCTTGAGCATGGAAGAACTATCACTGCTGACTATTACATAGCATTATTGGATCGATTGGATACTGTATTGAAGAAAAAACGAAAGCGTATACAAAGAAAAAATATTTTGTATTATCTCTTTCCAAACTTGAAACGATGGCTCCAGGGAAGACGATTTTTCACAAATGAAGAAGTCGAATGAGAAACAGATGGCTATTTTGGATTACTTTCGGCCGACTTTTATTCCAAAGGTATCGAAATGTTAGAAAAACGCTGGACTAAGTGTATCGAGCTAAAAGGAGACTACGTTGAAGAATAAAATCAATTTTTGCCAACATTCACGTTTTTTTCATTTCCATTCTAAAAACTTATCAACCCACGTGGTATTAGTGAAAGTGATTTAATTTCGCCCAAAGAATATATTCGTATACCATTTAGAGAGTGCAATTTTAATTTTTGGTCGCGATTTGTTACCTAAGCATCACTTTCTCACAAGCATCCAACAATAATTAGAAATATGGGGTCAGTAAAAAAAATGAGTACAATTCGATTTGAAGCAAACCATCAAGTCTTTAAACGATTTGCAAAAAATAACCGCAATTTCAAAAGTCTCACACACACCCTTGCAACTAAACATCAAAAGGCGACCGCTCAAAGTATTAAATCGTGCTCACATGTTGATAAAATATCAGTAGGAAAAAAATAACCCGTAAATGATGTAGAAATTCTTAAAATTTTTACAAATGGTTCCGTATTTGAAGTTAAATAGATTCAAATGAATGATCGAAAATACAAAACAGGTTGATTCATTTTGCAAGAAAATGAGCCTAATGAAATAGTTCGAATATTTTGTAACAACAATTGTTACTATTTTTGGGCCAAACGATATTGTTTTATTGAAGTTGATAATTTCATTAATGCAATTGAAATCGAAAAATTGGACCCAGAATTGTCAAAAATGTATAAATTTGATTCATGACTCTCCTAGTTTGCACGAAAAAAGAACCATTCGAAATCGAACATATATTCCAGCAACTACTTTAGAAATTGTAAGGTCTTTTAAAAAAATGCAATGAATTGTTGTTTATTAAATTTTGATGATTTTATTTTAGCGAAAAATAAATAAATTAGAGCACTTGCTCATTGACTTGCCCAGATTTTCATGCGTATTATTTAATCTTTGAATAAATTACACGATTTGTAAAAGTGGATTGCACAGTATGCAAAGCATACTTTATCACATTAAAGTATCGATCATCTTAAACCTAATTCACTCAAAATAATAAGGTACGTTTCATTTCGATATTTATAAAGAAATAGTCAGAGATCAAACAACAACCAGAACACTGTATTAGAATATGCTTAATGAAAAAAAACTGAGGAATAATCAATCCCCAATTTGATTGTTTACGAATTGGATTCCAGAAGCCATTATGCGCATGAGTCTGTTGTAGACATCTTCCATTTTCGGAGTTGGTTTCTTTGATATCTTCATTCCGTAAATGTAGTGTTGAATGAAAAACATAGCATTTTCTATGTTTTTATCGAAGTTCATGTCAAAAATATGATGAATTTTGAACAAAAGATCAAGTATTTGATCATACGTGTGCCCATTGGCAATCTAAAAATACAATGTGAATGAGTATATTTTCCAATAGATTACTTTTCAACTTTAGATTGACGTCGTCTGAATCTTGATGTGACAACGTTAATTCACAAAATGTTAATAAACTTTGAAAATAGTCACTTGAAGACATGATTAATTACGCAACTGTTTAGAATTTTGATTTATTAAACTTTTGTACAGTGCATGCAGATATCTATCTATATTATCTTAAAAGGGAAGGAAGAAAAAAATAATAAATAATTCCCAATTGTCAATAAATTATTTTTTCACAAAATTTAATTACACAAAAAAAAATTATTTTACAGTTATGCGTCCGCGTGTGCACAATTTTCGGAAAGAAACTGTATGGTGATCGGTGAGAACACACAACCGGCATCGTCAGACAAAAAGTGTTACCGACGCAGTCAAATTATTATTCACCACTACATATTTATGTATATATGCAGATAGATTGAATGCATTGATTATACGAGTCTTGATTGGGAGTTTAGGTTAGGACACAAAAAGCAGTAGTTGATATCAAAAATTACAGAGAAAAATGTCAAACGACAAAGAAGAAATAAACGTCGTAAATATAAGTCGTACAGCTACAAAAAGTAATTCGAATACACCGTTATCGCAGCTGGAACACACTGAGTGACACTGAGAATCAACCAAATACACCAGATCCATGGGGACAAATGACAATATACAAAATAAAACGACGACGCTTGGGACAAAGACTTTTAACCAGCACCGAAGAGAAACAATGTACCATCGGTAAATATTAATAAGTTTTACGATTCTTTTTTCAATACAATATACCAAATTATATATATATATTTTTGATTACGTAGATTTAGTAAAGGAAAAAACCACATTTGGACGGAATGGTGATTGCAACATTTCAGCTTACATTGAACCAATTAAAATGTCTGAAGTGTCAAACATCCATTTTGCAATCACGAAAAAAGATGTAAACGATCAATATTGTCCAGTATTTGTGGAGGTGAATTTCAAATGATTCTTCTTTTTTCATTCATGTTTTACCCAATTGTTTCACAATTTCAAATTATCTCAGGATTTTTCGAAGAACGGAACATTTTTCTGCCAACAAAAAATCAACACCAACAATGAAACAAACCAGGGCATAACTTTCCAGCAAATCGATAAGAATACTAAAAAACGAATAATTAGTCACAAAGTTTGTATTTACATCGAAAGACATCAGCCATCAATTTACTTTGTATATCATTCACTACAACAAGTAGTGAGTCCATCATTTTTGCCAAAAGATATACATGCTGAATATCACATTGGTCATGAATTGGGTCACGGTGCATGCGGAAAGGTGTATTTTGTACAAAATCGTACAACGTGTTTGCCATTTGCATTGAAATATGCCTCAAACGAAATAAACCAAATCCCTATGAAATCCATTCTCCAAGAGATTGAGATTTTAAAAAAAATCAAACATCCATGCATTTTGGAGCTATACAGTGTCAACACCTATGTAGATTCGGTCGCAATCTTTCTGCACTATATGGATGGCGGTGATTTATTTAGTCGCATTCAAAAGAACAAACCCTTTTCTGAAGAGCTGACAAAATTTATTTTCTATCAAATTTGTTGCGGCGTTGAATATTTACATAAACAAAATGTAACACATCGCGATCTTAAACCGGCAAATATCCTCTTGGCAACGCCAGACGAATATACATTGATTAAAATATCAGATTTTGGTTTGAGTAAATGTGTGACCAATTTAAATTCAATTTTAAAAACACAATGCGGAACACGTCATTATATTGCGCCCGAGATAAAAAACAAACAACGACCATACACGAATAAAGTCGACATGTGGAGTCTTGGTGTCATTTTATATAATTGTTTTACCGGAGAATATCCATTCGATGATGACGATGATAATGATGGTACAAGCAATGAGGAATTACGATTTACCAATGGACAACTATGGAATAATGTTTCAGATGAAGCAAAGAATATTCTTCGTGAAACATTGAAGTTTAAAGCAGATGATCGTCCAGCTGTAAGCATTCTCTTGAACGAACGCAAATGGCTTTCGAAAGAAAATGATGCGATCATTAAAAAAGCCATCGAAATCGTAAAGAATTCAAATAAAACAAAATCACCGCAAAAAAAACTTGAAACGGCTTACAGAAATTAGAAAAACAACGAAACATCCACTTAAAAATACACAAAATGTTATCTAAAAATGTGTTCAAATAAACAAATTCTCTCTCTCTCTCTCTCTCTCTCTCTCTAATTAAATAAAATATGTATATACGTATAAATATAAATGAAATCCAAAGAGTTTTTTTTTTTCTAAATTCAGATTATCACATACATAGAATATTGCAGTGTGATTGATGATTGTGGTCTCTGCGTCCAAGTAAATGTGGCCAATCAAATCTATCGAAATTATCAATGGGAGAGTATGTTTTTCGGAATTGTAGTACGATAAACGAAAGCTTGTTTTTCCATGATAAAGATTGTTAGAGGAGAGCACGTATTTAGATCGATTTAGTTTGTCATAAAAGAGAGGTTTTGGTTCATTTAAATTTTATGAAAGGAGTGTATGTGATTTGGTTAAATTGGGTGGAAGTAAAGGAGAGTACCTTATTAAATTATTCTGGTTGAAATAAAAGTGAGTATGGGCGAAAATAGTTAATATATTTCACATTTTTAGATCCGAATGTAACTGGCGCGCAGAATTAGCAATATTAAATCTCTTCGTATATAAATACAAAATACTATTTCATAACAGCACGCAAACATTAACGGGTGAATGAAACGAATGGAGTCTGTGTTGTTGTCACAGGCACACATAAACAACAATACGTAACAAACACGAAAGAACATGATCTGTGTGTGGGTTTGATAAGTCACACAGAGACGGCATTTGCTATTGTCATTGTTTGTTTGTGTTTTTTTACTCGCGCAACTATGTGACTGCTTCAGCGCGCCTATTACATTCGAATATTATTTGATCCGAAAATATTAATTATTTTAACCATTTTTATATTTTTATTTCGATGTAAGTGAATTAATACAAACTCTCCTTTATCATAAAAAAATTTAGTTGAACTACATACTCTCCCCTTTTGCGAAATGGATATGGCCAACAACTTACTCTCTTTTAAGTCAAACTAAATACCTCAAACTACATACTCTCTCTTATAAATTTTTTAACTGTTATGCGACTTACTCCCCTTTTGCTATTAACACAATCGACAAAAAACATACTCTCCTTTTGAAATATTTTCAACTCGAAAATGACATACTCCCTTCTCGATATTTTCAATAGAAATGATGTTGGTTTGAATGCATTTTTAATTGAATGCATCGTCTCAACTGTATTTTTTTATCATTTAACGTGTAATAAGGCTCGATTATAATCACTAAATGGCAAAAAAGACCAGTTGAAGCGGGAATATATGTATTTTTTTTCTGTATAAATAAGTTGTATATACATTTCAATTGAATATGCAAGAGCGCGTGCTACGTTGGAACTGCGTGAATCGGTAGTTATTGATTTATAATAGTACTGCACTACCAGTTCGGTAAAGAAAGAAATAGAAATGGACAGTGCGGAAAAGTTAGACTTACGAATGTAAGTTCCTTTTTATTTCACTCGTATTTATCTCCTCAGCTTGATACTTACCTATATAATAGCCTGCCTGAAATAGAACATGATGTCGCTAGAAGACATTGAGCACTAATTCGATAAATCAAACAGTCAGACCGATCGAAAAAGTCTAAGCGACAAATGAGAGAATGAGCATTTGAAATGGGGAAAATCTATGAACGGAAGTCAACATAAACAGACTTGATTAATTCGCAGTTTCAATGCAATTCGGAATAAAATGTACTACTGTTTGTCAAATCGGTTTAATATACAGTCTTTATTCTACTTGAGTTTGATATCACATTTTTCGAGTGAGCGGTTGGTCCCGTTCGTTCAATGGATGATACGGCATACCCCGGAGGCGCATCACCAACGCGATATCCTTGGCCATCACCGTTACACGTTTGGCGTGATTGGCGCAGATGTTTGCATCGGACATTAAATCCGTTACCACTCCCTAATAAATTGATACCAAATTATCCCAATCAATATCTATTTAAAAAAAAAAAAAAAAACGTAAAATGGTAAAAACTTACTTCTGTTGCCGTCTGAAGTACCTCCATCGCTGCCTCTTGGACCCGGAATCTTTCTAAGCCCATCTCCTCGCATATGGCTTCGACGTGCTCGCGTACCTTCACCCTGAATGGTAGCTTTGCCCCCATCAATTCACAAGAGTTTTGGTATCTACTTATTTGCCGCACCATTTGGTCGACAATGTGCGCTCTTGGGAGTTGGTTTGACGATTTTTGTGGTTTTTTTGCCGGTTTTCGTTGTTGTTTTGCCGATTTTCTGTTTGCAGGGCCTGCTTCAACTGAATAAAAATCGATATTTAATTAAAAATCTCAAGGGATTTCAATGGTAAAATTGTCAAAAAACTCAGTTGAAGCACAATAAAACGATGAAAATGAATGACAATTGAATCAAATTACCTGTTATTGTTTTTGCTGTTGTTGTTGCTGCTGCGGTGGATGGTTCTTCAACATTTTTGTCACTATTTTCACTATTTTCGGTTAGCTTTCGTCGCTTTGCTTGTTTGCTCTTTGGTGTTCTATTACGTTTACGTGGCGATGAGATCACATTTTTCGGTTTTAGTGGCGTTGGCGTTTCATTTAATGCTAAAAGAAACAAAAGAGAAATTTTACGAAATTGAATTGGTGAAGATCTTCCTCAATAAAGCATCAGATTGATGGCCCTTGAAAGAGACGTTGAACTCATTGATGTACGTTCTATCCAATGCTGGATCATCGCTTTTCTTGAGTTCCAATATTCCATCAATCTGATTAGCTATTTCTGGGTCAGACATCTCCTTTAATGCATCGTACAACTCAGAACCAAAAAAGTCGACGTCATAATAATCATCTGTGAAAATACAAAAACATAAACAAGAAAAAATATATATATATTCAATCCATTAATTTGTTTTTGTGGTACAAATACATAGTATTACAAATTAGAAGAGATCATTTTACCGAGCATTTTTTCATCATTGGTTTGTTGTTCTCTTGGCCTTATTATAACATTTAGCCCTTGCCGATATAGGCGCTTTTCTTTATCTGGAAATTATAATGAACATGAACGACTAATGAAAAAACGCTCGGTGAGCAGAAGCAATTTAATGGTTATATAGTGTAACAAAAATAAGACGAAAACGTGACTTACCAATGGCTGGTGGTTTTTTTGCATCTAAAAAAGAGAAAAAGGATAAAACAAAAACAATGATAACATAAGTTTCTTTAGCCTGAAATCTCTTTTTATATAATAAAAACAACAACTATTAAATTTATTTTGTGTTGTGTGTGTTTTACATCGGTGCCATATACGAGCTGAATAATGACAAATAATCACGTAAATATGAGAAATATTCTCTATATTTTCCATTTATACACCACATTCATACAAAATTGTCAAAACTGTGTTTATTTTGATTTTTTTTTTGTTCATGTTCCGCGCCCCTATCTTTTGACACATCCAGAATTTGTTTTGAACTTGGCTCGCCAAAACCATTTGAGATACTTTTTCGTTAATCCGATTTGTACGACATCGCGAATGGAAATTTTTGTGCAAATTGTATTCGACAGTAAGTAGAGTAGGAGTCCGGTTAAGTATCCTATGTGCATTGGTTGACATTTTTGATTTTAGTTTCAAAACTAACCAAACACATGTAATTGAATCGTTGTGGCGAAAGAGTAGCTCTTATTTTTCTCCAAATAATACTGCAACATAAAGTTTTTTATGAATAGTTTATTTGTTGTTTAAACTATAAACTATTCACACGGTTTATTTAACTATTCATAAAAAACTTTATGTTGCAGTATTATTTGGAGAAAAATAAGAGCTACTCTTTCGCCACAACGATTCAATTCTTATGATTACTTAACTTACTTGAATAACCCATTTAATTAAAAAAAAATCAACAAGAAAAAATAATCACGCCAAACCAAACCAAACAAAAACCAAAAAAAAAGAATTGAACTTACCTCTTTCCGCCATTTTTGAAATAGTGAACAAAAAGATGTTCTCAATTCTGGTTTTTTCTTTGTTTCTTTGGTCTATTTATTTTTCGTCAAAATATTAAATTATTTTTCACTTTTACATATTACCTATAGCAAATTTTCGTACGTCAATTTACATATCTATATAATTATTTTAATAAGGCACGAGAATTAAGATGTCTATCGCTTGAGATTCTGCACTATGTATGCTGAACACCAAATGTAAAACATGTGGAATATAACAATGTTACCAACATTCTAGCAATAAAATGGTGGCAGTGTGGAGATTTTTTTTTTAGAACTGAATGTTGAATGATGTTGAATGCCATCTATTGAGAAAAAAAATTGTGTATGATTGTGTGAATTTGTGTAGTGTGGAGAATGTGTTCAGGTGCGAGTGTGGAAAACCATTTGTTAGGAAAATACGCGGCGAAGTGTCAAAAGTAAGTAAATACATATAATAGTTATGATTTCAACGAAACAAAAAATAAATTCGCAATTTATCATCCGATCGATCATTTTATATTCCGGTAGAGATTCAACATAAAAATAAGTAGAAAATATAACCTAATAAAAAAAAAAAAAAATATTTTTTACTTCGTATTTAGTTTTCCAAATACTATCAAGTCCCATCAATGGCGCAAGTTCCTGTAATTGAATTGAGCCCTAAACGACGCAACTTTGCGGTCACCACAATTTTTCTTGATGAACTCACTGAAATGGTAACTAGTATACCAAAATTGGAATTATTTTATTATTACATATAATGGAGAATCATGTTTGTTTTTTGTTTGTTTTCTTCTAGAAATTTAATGAAAGGATCGATTCACCAGAAATCTCCGAAGAAATGTATCTTCAAGCTAAAAGCTTATGTGTTTTATTTGAGCGACTTGATCGTATGCATAGTAAGGAAGATGGTGTTGATGCTGAAACCTACGAGAAAAATCCAAAACCAACTGTTTTGATCTTTCTTCCGGGAATTTTTGAAATAAGACAAATGTATCAGTACCTTGAAGACTGGACCAAAATGTAAGTCAATTATAATTG